CCCGCAGCCATTGGCTTTTATTCGACGGAGAGGCTACAGTACCCGTTAGGTCTGGCAAAATCACAGCTGATCTGTCCCGGCTCGTGTGCAAGGGGTCGGTTAGTTGGTAACAGTACTAGCATAGCCGTCTCGGGCTCCGCCGCCCGTCCTCAGAAGAAAAAGGCCACGCCGATTGTGGACGGAGTCGCCGTCAAGGCAAGCGAAAGCGAGAGCCAGAAGTTGCTGTCGGGTGCCGCAGTCGTAGGGAAAGACAACGCCGCGGACCCACTACTGGCCCTGAGGGGACAAACAATGCGAAACGGACCATCTTGGAGCTAAACCCGCCACCGCAGGCACCGCAGGTATGCAGGGAGGCTTGGAAGATACTTTCTTCGACCGAGTCGACAGCGCCGACACCATTGACAACCAAGATGCCGATTCCGACGTCGACGATATACAAGTGGCCATGAGACGGACAGGTTTGATTCGATCAGGAATCAACTTCCGGCGGAAGGGTTGCGCATTGTGGGCAACGAAGCCGATTAAGGCTGGCTCAAGCTCCTGCCCGAAGTGGTGACGGAAAACGGGCCGTCGCCACCTGATTGGTCAGAGATGGGTCTGGCTCAAACCTTAAACAGCGGGAAAGGGGGCCAAGCGAAGAGATGCAAGGTGTGACAAAAGGCATCAGACAAGGTCGATTTTTCGAACTGGTGTCGAGTCATGTCTGGCGCGCGAGGCAGGTTTACTCGGGGGCCGAGACCGCGACAGAAGTCTACTCGCTCGATCTTGACATTGCGTCCGGGCAGATCAGGAATGGCTGCGCACAAAGATCACAACAGACCCTAATAATGCACGGCAGCACGGGGCGAGACGCTGGCTCAAACGGGATGCTATAAGACTCGGATAGACGATCGGGTACGTGTCTCGTGAGGGACTGACTGCCGGATTTGTGCTACTGTACTATACTGCTACGCAGAGTGCTACAGTACGCAGAGACGCCGCAGGACGACAAAGCGTACTGATTGTCGTGTATCTCGAGAACAGTCATGCTGCACCAACAAATGGCTGATGCAATGCAACGGAAAGCGCATTCAATGGCCCAAACCTGATGCTTGAGCGAGTTACGTGGAGTCAGGTGGATGTCCAAGTTGGTAGCCTGAAGCAGCTTGTCACGCTGCAGTGCGATAGGGACGCCGTTCGCGCCATGTAGGCTGCAATATCGAGGATGGCATGTAGTCAATACAGAAAGGAATTGAGGAGAAGGAACCACAGGTGTGGAATCTGCGGTTTAACCTAATTGAAACAGGGAAACGCACTCAAAGCCTTCCATAGGAATATTTAAGGCTACCTAGTCACTAGTTCATGAACCCGAGAAGACGGACCACAACACCATGGGATTGATGCGTACTACGCTCTAGAGTCGCGGAAGCTAGACCAGTCGTCTAACACGCGTTCACACTCCTTTCACCATACCTAAACCCCACGGAAAAAACAAGAGGCTCGACTCTCTTGCCGGAAATGTTTGCATTAGTCCACCACGCGGTGCTTTGGCGAATATTGACGAGATGCGAAGACCTCTTTCCGTATGGAAGATCCATCGCGCTGCTCGCGTCGTACTTCACGTCGTCCACTCGGGCGTGAAGCTGGCGTTACCCGCAGCCCGAGGGTGGCGTCAAGGTGAGAGAAGTATTATCGGACCTCCTCGTGCCCGGAAGATCCCTCTTTGAGATTAGAGTTTTCCAAACCTTTGGTATGTACTGTAAGCTGAACTGGTATGGCGGCGTGTCCGAGTTAGCCCGGGCTCCGGGATATCTGCTGTAGTGCTAGACGCCGCCAGAGTCACTTCACAAGTAAGCCAATCTCTTTTATAGCTTCTCTAGCTTTGATTTTGTCTCCGCGTTCCCTTTGGTCTGGTTGCAAGAAGCAGACTTGGCCGCATCGCCAAAAGCTTGCGAGATTCATTTGTAGCTCCGCTTGCCCATATGAATTGAACACTCACGCAGTGCATCCATGGCCAGTTGCTACCGCGTACATCGAGACTGGGTTCGACTTCGCTTTTTTTCTGCGTCATGAAACGACAGTCTTCGTAGGCTCCTCGGGTCATCACACTCGCCGTCCGTGTTGTCGAGCTAGGCGAGTTTGTGAGACCACTTGCACGAACACACACTATTGACCATTGCAGCTTCCCACAGCTAGCCAATGCAAGCTCAAGTGACAGAGACGATAGTTGCTGTAGGGCTGAAAAGGATCGAGACGCTTCAGGCCGCAGCTGGACAACAGTTAAGATTGTAGGATCTCCTCATAGAATTGGAAACTCGGGTTCTCCAACTTTTGTCTTTTTCTCCAAGTCTGCCAGTCTGAAATCATGTCTGTTGAAGCCCTTCAGGTCGCCCTCTCTGCGTTGAAAACACCAACTGGCCTTGCATCGATCGCACACTTGGGAATTCAGCAAGTAGTCCTCTGTTTGATTTCATTGACCCGGCCTGTCTGAACCTTCCTACCAATCTCAAAGAATTTCAACAGCGCACCAATCAAAACTTCATTCACTTTCACGCCGCGTACGTTATAATGATTACCCTCGGCCTCCTCGCAAACCATTAGCACATGATGCATGGAATGTGGGTTTCAACGAGATTATGGTCACTGCGAAGCATAATGTCTACCACGCCACAGTTCGCGATGGTGTACACAGTGCACGCCGCGTTGTTGGACGCGAAGACGAGACCGCTAGCGAAGCAACCATCATGAAATCGATTGTGGGTTCGACGACGTAGACGGCGAACATTCCTACCAGTCTGCGTCGTAGCCTGACGTAGCATCGTCTTTGAGTAGTTGGATGAGTGAGGGAACCCAATGAAAGCCGCGCTGTGAACAACCTGCGATCGGGTTTCCGACTTG